TCGAGGTGCCCAAGTGATTTTCCAAGCGTAGCTTAGATGTGGCACAAGGCCGAAGTATGGGGCGCAGTGAGGATCGAACTCACTACTCAGTCGTAATTGTTGTAGCGAGACAAGCTTTCTAACCATTACACCACGTCGAGGTGCCCAAGTGATTTTCCAAGCGTAGCTTAGATGTGGCACAAGGCCGAAAGTATGGGGCACCCAGTGAGGAACGAACTCACTACTCAGTCGTAATTGTTCTAGCAAGACAAGCTTGCTGACCGTTACTCCGCCTCGAGGTGCCCTCTGTTACAGGTGTTATATCAGACTTTTACCTTCTCCTAGATGTTTGCCTTGACGAAGTCTGAGGTGGGGGTCACCTCACCCGGTGATCTTACGGTGTCCTCAGACTCCAGCCGGAGCATTTCTACATCCCTCACGCAGGCATGGCTAGATGGCCGTTGAACTCCCAAAGAGGTTCACCCGCCCTTTGACAGGTCTTGTTTTTATGGATAGCGGCTCGGATTGAGGAATCGGAGAGCCGAGTTCGAATTCCAGTCGAATCCATTACATTCATTAACGTACCCTTGAGAAAGATTTGTGTCCTCTTCTTCTCCCTCCGGCTATGGGTAAATCGCACGACAGACCGGGTTCTATAGGCTTAGATGGCAACTGGTCTACCGCAGAAAGAAATGGCAACCTATTGCGGGAAAGGAAAAAAAAAACATCTGCCTCGTCAGTCATGTATCGAAAGATACAGGATCGCCTAAGCGTGTATCACTCATGGCACATAACTGAACTAACAAGGGGTTTCTAGCCAGCCTCCTCACCAGCCAGACCTGGTGGGGGAACCGATCTAGTCGCTGATTGCCCGACCATGCAACAGGGAGTACTGGCTTACATGATACTATTAACATCCATTCAGGATGACCTCACACACACACACACACACACATATATATATATGTGTGTGTGTGTGTGCGTGTGTGTGTGTGTGTGTGTGTGAGCAAATATTACTTTAGTCCGATGAAGTCCTTCTAGAGAACAAAACGCTTGACGCAGAATTTATCTACTTTGCTATTTAATTGACTATTATATATATATATATATATATATATATATATAATATTATAAATTAATTGATTTAAAATATGGTTTTTTTCGCTACACAGTTCTAACCATGTTTCAAAAATGGAAGCTAGAAGTGCCGAATTTAATTCTGTAATTAAATTAAAGACATTAGTTCCATTTCATCCTAAAGCGAATTTTGGAGTAACTTTTAAAATTATTGGGTTTTAAAGACACAGCTAAAATCATAATTCACGTTTCTAATGTTACAAATGAATCCACTTCACTAGACAAGGGGTGTCTGGGTGTTCAATATGTCTATATTTTAATGTATCAGTTATTGCTACGTTTTGGTAGTGGGTAGGGATGTATTTTTCAATGAAATCTAACATCCGTTAAAAGCGTGTCGTCTGGATTTTTTTAAAATTATATTGTTAACGGCTAAAATTCTTACGGCATTTTTTTCCTTCGTATATTTAAAAAAATTTTGGGAGGTGTTTAGGTAAGAATACTTTCTATTTAACTACGATTTGAAATATTTTTACTTTTAATTTTTAATATACTATATTTCTTTCAAGAACAATTAAATGTAATTAGAATCCCTTACAGTTTGTAGAATTATTATCACATCAAGTATATTACGATTTTAAAAATTTTATATTCAAATATTACTTATATATATATATATATATATATATATATATATATATATATATATATATGTATATACAGATAGATAGATACTATTAGTGGTGAATATATATATACATAGATAGATAGATGAGATAGATAGATAGATAGATAGATAGATAATACTATTAGTGGTCAATATATATATATATATATATATATATATATATATATAATTTCAAGAGGATAAAATCTAGGTAGAATTCAATGTCCAGGACAGAGTGAGAATATAATATAAAAGGCTGAAATAAGTTTTCTTTTTTTTTGAATTTGTAGGTCTGATGAATTGGATTCTGATTCGATTCAATGTAATAAATTATAACCATGGAATATTAGTGTTTGAGTCTGAAATATATATATATATATATATATATATATATATATATATATATATATATATATATATATATATATATATAATATCCACAAGATCTGCCTATCCAGCTGAATTAGTTGTTTTATACGATTTTCAGAAAATCGGAAATTTGAAAAGTTAATAAAAAATGGAGAGCCAGAATTTGTCGACATAATTCAATCAAACACGATTGAAAATATTTTTGCTTCACAAATAAAACTTATTTAATTCTATCCCTCTCTCTCTCTCTCTCTCTCCCTCTCTCTCTCTCTATCAATCTATAAGGAATAGACTGGAAGATAGATAGATAGATAGATAGATAGATAGATAGATAGATAGATTTTACATCTACACGGTTAGATGGATACTATTGAAGTACTCTAAAAAATGAAATGGATAGGACAGTTTTTATGAGTATGCAGATAGATAGGAACACATTATGATAATATATCATAATCTGTTCCTATATAATTGTCTGTTTCTCTCTCTATCTCTATCTCTCTCTCTCTCTCTCTCTATATATATATATATATATATATATATATACAGAGAGAGTGAGAGAGAGAGTGAGAGAGAGACAGAGATTAACAGACTTATATATATAAATTGATATGGCATATTATAACATAACAGGCTGAGACAGAACGGCGGATATATATATATATATATATATATATATATATATATATATATATATATATATATATATGAAGAGATAGATGAATAGACGACTGACAAATTAATAGATATGAAAAGATTGAAATAGATAGATAGATAGATAGATAGATAGATAGATAGATAGATAGATGACTGACAAATTAATAGATATGAAAAGACTGAAATAGATAGATAGATAGATAGATAGATAGATAGATAGATAGATAGATGACTGACAAATTAATAGATATGAAAAGATTGAAATAGATATAGATAGATAGATAGATAGATAGATAGATAATAACGAAGAAACTGTGTTAGATAGATAGATAGATAGATAGATAGATAGATAGATAGATAGATAGATAGGAACAGTTTCAAACAGATAGATAGATAGATAGATAGGAACAGTTTCAGACAGATAGATAGATAGATAGATAGATAGGATCAGTTTCAGACAGATAGATAGATAGATAGATAGATAGATAGATAGATAGATAGATGGATAGATAGATATAAATAGAATTAGATAGATAAGTGAGGAAGAGAGGGAGGAGAATTTCCTTTACCTCCTCTGTGATCAATACCTTTTGTCTCTCGTCTCCGTCCTTGGGGAATGTAGCCATCAGACAATGCGACGTCGGTCAAACCTGTCCGATGTGGCCAATGGAAGATCACCTAACATCCAATGCAAAACACTTGTTTTAATGGTGCCCGAAGAGAGGACTTTATCCGATAATAATTTGTAAAAAAAAAAAAAAAAAAAAAGAACGTGTCGAGATAATAGCTGGAAAGGAAAAATATCCCCCACCCCCATACGCACAAAAAAAAACAAAAAAACAGTAAGGACATATATTTATTTATCGTTGATCAATAAAAGGGATGTATATAGCAATTGCTGCAGACATCATGTTGTATCCTCTGGCCACCCCAATAAACAGGTAGACTGTGGAGAATGGCTCTCCAGGATTCAATAAAGTTTCATCTCTGGGCTAGACATGAGCAAGGAAACAAAATCTGTCTATATATCTGAGATGAGGTATTATGTACACTATTTACATTGCTCGAACTATCATCCTCATCTTTGTTGCCATATTTATCACAACGTTTCGGCCGTTGTACGCTCCGGCCTTCTTCAGGTGCTTGGATAGTGTCGAACTGAACCTTTTATTTCGCTCACTGGGGTAGACTGTTCCATGTGTCCACGAGAACACATGGCACAGTGGATAAAGGCATTAGATCCAGTGACAGGTTCCAAAGAGTTCTGAGTTCAATACCTGGTGAAGGCGGTGGAATTTATTTCGCTCACTGGGGTAGACTGTTCTAGTTCCACGTGCCATGTTTAATGGATGTCAGTTATCCGTTATCTTCTGTTAATTCCACTATCCAAATTCTCCACTTGCCTTAACCGGGTATTGAACTCACTGTCTTTAGGTTTATAATATCCAGAAATTCATACACAGATGTCCTCAAGGACACATGGCACAGTGGATAAAGGCGTTAGTTAGATCCAGTGACAGGATCCAAAAGAGTGTGAAACTTAACTTCAGTGATCGTCAGATACTGACCATGTTCGACGTTGCTTAACTTCGGTTATGGTCTGGGAAATGGCGTTTCAACGTGATATGGCCCTAAGCCCATTATGCCACCGACAAATCCAAGCCTACAGCACCTGGTATTGACAAGCGGTCACCCGTCTAAATACTGACCAGGCTCGACGTTGCTTAACTTTGGTTATCGTTCGGGAATCGGTACTTGAAAGTGATATGGCATTAAGCCTTTTATGCCATCGTCAAATCCAAGTTTCGAGCAACTGCTACTCCTAAGTGGTCACCCGTCTAGACACAGACCAGGTTCAACGTTGCTTAACTTCAGTGATCGTCCGGGGAAACGTTGTTTCAAGGTGACATGGCCGTAAGCCCATTATACCACCCACACATGCTAGTTAACAGCACGTTGCTTAACTTTGCTGAACCAGTGCTTCCATGTGACATGGCCGCAAGGTTTATATAATAGTTACATGTTTCCAAAGCTATTAACGTTTGCTGTTCAACGCCGATATTAAAACAGGGTTCTTTGATTTTTGTTTCTTGGAGACGAAATACATCAAAGCTATAACTATCAAGGTCCTTAGCAAATAATTCCTGCTTTTCTTTCTTTCTTTCTTTCTTTCTTTCTTTCCTTTTTTCTTTTTCTTTCTTTTCAAATGTCCTCTAGTATTAAACGTCTTGGTGCTAAAGTCTTTACGTATGCAATTGGAAGCATTTGCACAATTTTACATAAAAAGTTACCAACTTTTAGCGCTTGACAACCGGATGTGCCATTACCTTCTACTCCTTCTGCCCTGCCCTTTCGGGTCGTTGGCGATCATGGCTTTCCAAAATTTCCTTTTCCTTGTAACCTTTATAACTTTTGACTTTCTACCATCTCTCAAAAAACCTGCTCTGTCATCGATTCATTCAAGATCGCAAGGGAGGCTATCCGTTGCTTTCCTCTGTCTTTACTACCTTCAATCTGCCCTGTGAGTATCAAATTTTCCAAGACCACCTTCCTCAACATGTGTTCAAGAAACCTCAACTATCTCATCCGATTTTTTTCTTTAAATATAACTGTCTTTTTCTGTTGCCAATCATTCTTTGTTCACATATTCCGTCCATGGTATCGTAAGCTTACTTATGTAGAGCCACATTTCTGTTGCTTCAAGTCTCTCCTTTATCTGTCATGAGATTGTCCAGAATTCGCTGCCATATAGGAAGAGAGATATTACGTAACAGTCCAGGACTCTTTGCTTTGTTTCTATTGCTTCAAGTCTCTTCTTCATCTGTGAGGAGATTGTCCAGCATCCACTGCTATATAGAACTAATATTACGAAAGAGTACAGTATTCTTTTCATTCTTTCTGTTGCTTCAAGTCTCTTCTTCATATGTGAAGAGATTGTCCAGCATTCGCTGCCATATAGGAGGACTGATATTACGTAACAGTTCAGTACTCATTTCTTTGTTTCTGTTGCTTCAAGTCTCTTCTTCATCTGTGAGGAGATTGTCCAGCATCCACTGCCATATAAGGAGGACTGATATTACGTAACAGTTCAGTAATCTTTTCTTTGTTTCTATTGCTTCAAGTCTCTTCTTCATCTGTGAGGAGATTGTCCAGCATTCACTGCCATATAGGAGGACTGATATTACGTAACAGTTCAGTACTCTTTTCTTTGTTTCTATTGCTTCAAGTCTCTTCTTCATCTGTGAGGAGATTGTCCAGCATTCGCTGCCATATAGGAGGACTGATATTACGTAACAGTTCAGTACACTTTTCTTTGTTTCTGTTGCTTCAAGTCTCTTCTTCTGTGAAGAGATTGTCCAGCATTCACTGCCATCTAGGAGGACTGATATTGCGTAACAGTTCAGTATTCTTTTTCTTTTGTTTCTCTTGCTTCAAGTCTCTTCTTCATCTGTGAGGAGATTGTCCAGCATTCACTGCCATATAGGAGGACTGGTATTACGTAACATTTCAGTACTCTTTTCTTTGTTTCTGTTGCTTCAAGTCTCTTCTTCATCTGTGAAGAGATTGTCCAGCATTCACTGCCATATAGGAGGACTGGTATTACGTAACATTTCAGTACTCTTTTCTTTGTTTCTGTTGCTTCAAGTCTCTTCTTCATCTGTGAGGGATTGTCCAGCATTCACTGCCATATAGGAGGACTGGTATTACGTAACAGTTCAGTACTCTTTCTTTGTTTCTGTTGCTTCAAGTCTCTTCTTCATCTGTGAAGAGATTGTCCAGCATTCACTGCCATATAGGAGGACTGGTATTACGTAACATTTCAGTACTCTTTTCTTTGTTTCTGTTGCTTCAAGTCTCTTCTTCATCTGTGAGGAGATTGTCCAGCATTCACTGCCATATAGGAGGACTGGTATTACGTAACAGTTCAGTACTCTTTTCTTTGTTTCTGTTGCTTCAAGTCTCTTCTTCTGTGAAGAGATTGTCCAGCATTCACTGCCATCTAGGAGGACTGATATTGCGTAACAGTTCAGTATTCTTTTCTTTGTTTCTCTTGCTTCAAGTCTCTTCTTCATCTGTGAGGAGATTGTCCAGCATTCACTGCCATATAGGAGGACTGGTATTACGTAACATTTCAGTACTCTTTTCTTTGTTTCTGTTGCTTCAAGTCTCTTCTTCATCTGTGAGGAGATTGTCCAGCATTCACTGCCATATAGGAGGACTGGTATTACGTAACAGTTCAGTACTCTTTTCTTTATTTCTGTTGCTTCAAGTCTCTTCTTCATCTGTGAGGAGATTGTCCAGCAATCACTGCCATATAGGAGGACTGATATAACGTAACAGTTCAGTATTCTTTTCTTTGTTTCTGTTGCTTCAAGTCTCTTCTTCATCTGTGAGGAGATTGTCCAGCATTCACTGCCATATAGGAGGACTGGTATTACGTAACAGTTCAGTACTCTTTTCTTTGTTTCTACTGCTTCAAGTCTCTTCTTCATCTGTGAGGAGATTGCCCAGCATTCACTGCCATATAGGAGGACTGATATTACGTAACATTTCAGTACTCTTTTCTTTGTTTCTGTTGCTTCAAGTCTCTTCTTCATCTGTGAGGAGATTGTCCAGCAATCACTGCCATATAGGAGGACTGATATTACGTAACAGTTCAGTACTCTTTTCTTTGTTTGTGTTGCTTCAAGTCTTTTCTTCATATGTGAGGAGATTGTCCAGCATTCACTCCCATATACCTAGACTGATATTACGTAACAGTTCAGTTCTCTTTTCTTTATTTCCAATGATATGTTC